ACGCAGCTGGAGCTTTACTGAACGTAGGAGCGTCGAAGACGCTGGAGGTGTGTCTCTAATACTTCTTTGCTGCTCAAATCGCAGGATGTGTAAACGTAGCATTAGACTTTCCGATTGTTTTAATTAACCTACATATGAAACATTATATTGCAGCTAAAATTATCTCCTTTATTTCCTTATGAAATGTCAACCTCTAGTCAAGCTCACATACTTCCCAGAATCCAGACAAAAGTAGTTTTGGAACAAAGACAGAAAGTTAGCTGCATTCCGCCTCAAAAAGCAGGAAATAGCATTTTAGAGAATCTTAGTTTCAACATTTTCTATGACAGGATACCCCCTGGCTGGGAAAAGGCAAAGATTATAGGAAGGTTTTACTACTGGCTGCTTGGTTTGGTGTCAGTTCAAAGGGTTTGATCTTAACCCTGGTGAGACCAGAAGGAGCTCAACTCAATGAGGAGGCGGGGCTTGTTAGGGTTAACCCCCCCACACCTTTTCTGGTTACTGGATCTGTTTTCTATCTAAATATGAAAAGTAACTAGTTAAGATGTCTTCTGTGTCCCTGGTGAGAGGAAGTGATGTAGTTTGAACGGCATAATTTTTCTCACAGCTGTTAAGAGGAATTTCTAATCGGGTGTTAATTGATAGAATCAGCTCAGACTCTCTAGGAGATAAAGACGGAGCATAGATTGAGTGCAGGCCACTGAGGAGGCTGTTCCTACCGCTGCTGTTCTGACAGCAGCTCTGAAGTCCGAAGCTGGAACCGTTCTGAGCTAAAAGGGGATTTTCAGTCAAAGCTCCCACTGAGCTCTGCAGCAGAGCCGTTGACCCTTTCAATCACTTCGGCGAGATCAGATAGAGCCGAGGAATAACAACCACTTCCTGTTTCAAGGGGACCGCCATCTCTGAACACAAACTGTTCCTCCTCTGCGATCTTTTTGCCCACTTCACTTCCTGTAGCTCCTCCTCCAGCGACAGGGCGGGACCGTTGGCCGCGTTTAGGACTGCGAACCAACCTCAGGAGGGTTCTGGATCCGGCCAAGGATGGACCAGAACATTGGTCATGGAGTCTGAATGGTGGAGACACCAGGAAAAGCTTTCAGTGCAGAGGCTGCAAAGAAACAGATGAGAGGGGGTGGGTTGGTTGGCGGGGGTGAGTGTGTGTGTGTGTGTGTGTGTGTGTGTGTGTGTGTGTGTGTGTGTGTGTGGGAGGGGGTGGGATGGGGGGGTAATAATACAGAGGAGATTGGAGGGAAGTCTGCTCTGTGACCCGAGAGAAGATGAGAATATTTTCCTCCTGAACAGAAGTTCAGTAAATCATGACGACCTGGAATCTGTTGTGATTTTTTTCTTAGATTTTCATGATAATATGAGACATTACAGATTACAGATTGAGATTACAGATTACAAACACTTGCTTTGATGTAATGGAGCCTTTATTACAGATGCTTGAGAAAAAGCATTTTCCATAACGTTCTCACCACCTTTAATCTGTTTAGTTTATGGATTAGAGGAAAGACTGAGGCCACATCAGCAACGCCTCACGGACGGCCGGACGCAGCAACTACTTGCAGGGATGTGTCCTCACTTTATGGAGGAGGATTTATTATGCTTTTAGGATGTCGGCCATCATGGCCTCTGTTTACAGAAGAACCATCAGCAAATAAATTACAGCATTCCTCATTTTATTTATTTCATAGAAAAAGAACAGAACAGCTCTGATACAAAAGGGGAATGTAACATCTCGAGAATCTGACTAAAAAAATAAAATTTATTATTAAAGATCAAAGATTGGATTGATTCTGCAACATTGATGACATCAGAACTGCTGGAAGAAGCAATAGGAGGATAAAAATTATATTTAACACAAAAATGACATCAAGATTGCAGCTTCCAGAGTGGCTCTGCTCAACGCTGACCCAGTTAATGCAGTCGTTTCTTTGCATAAACTGGGCTCTTAACTGGTTTAAGCCACTTCTTCCTGCCCACAACTTCTCACCTACTATTTCCCGCATACTACTTCCCACCTACTACTTCCTGGCTACTACTTCCCACCTACTACTTCCTGGCTACTACTTCCCACCTACTACTTCCTGGCTACTACATCCCACCTACTACTTCCTGGCTACTACTTCCCACCTACTACTTCCTGGCTACTACATCCCACCTACTATTTCCTGGCTACTAATTCCTGCCTACTACTTTCCTCCTACAACTTCCCACCTACTACTTCCCTCCTACTACTTCCCACCTACTACTTCCTGGCTACTACTTCCCACCTACTACTTCCCACCTACTACTTCCTGGCTACTACTTCCCACCCACCACTTCCCACCTACTACTTCCCTCCTACTACTTCCCACCTACTACTTCCCACCTACTACTTCCCTCCTACTACTTCCCACCTACTACTTCCCACCTACTACTTCCCTCCTACTACTTCCCACCTACTACTTCCTGGCTACTACTTCCCACCTACTACTTCCCACCTACTACTTCCTGGCTACTACTTCCCACCTACCACTTCCCACCTACTACTTCCCTCCTACTACTTCCCACCTACTACTTCCTGGCTACTACTTCCCACCTACCACTTCCCACCTACTACTTCCCTCCTACTACTTCCCACCTACTACTTTCCACCTACTACTTACTGGCTACTAATTCCTGCCTACTACTTTCCTCCTAGTACTTTCTGTATCCTAGTACTTCCAGGATACTACCTCCTACCTACTACTTCCAATTTACTACTTCCCACCTACCACTTCCCACCTACTACTTCCCTCCTACTACTTCCCACCTACTAATTCCTGGCTACTACTTCCCACCTACTACTTCCCACCTACTACTTCCTGGCTACTAATTCCTGCCTACTAGTTTCCTCCTAGTACTTTCTGTGTCCTAGTACTTCCAGGATACTACCTCCTACCTACTACTTCCAATTTACTACTTCCCACCTACTACTTCCTGTTTCCTACTTCCGGTATACTACTTCCCACCTACTACTTCCTACCTATTACTTCCCATTTACTACTTCCCACCTACTACTTCCCATCTACTACTTCCTGGCTACCACTTCCTACCTTCTACTTCCCGTCAAATACTTCCCACCTACTACTTATTGTCTGCTACTTCCCACCTACTACTTCCCTCAGACTACTTCTTGTTTCCTACTTCCGGGATACTACTTCCTACCTACCACTTCCCATTTACTACTTTCCACCTACTACTTCCCACCTACTACTTCCCTCAGACTACTTCTTGTTTCCTACTTCTGGGATACTACTTCCTACCTACCACTTCCCATTTACTACTTCCCGCCAAATACTTCCCACCTACTACTTCCCACCTAATACTTCCCATTTACTACTTCCCGCCTAATACTTCCCACCTACTACTTCCCACCTACCACTTCCCTCCTACTTCCCACCTACTATTTCCCGCATATTACTTCCCACCTACCACTTCCCTCCTACTACTTCCCACCTACTACTTCCCACCTACCACTTCCCTCCTACTTCCCACCTACTATTTCCTGCATATTACTTCCCACCTACCACTTCCCTCCTACTACTTCCCATTTACTACTTCCCACCTACTATCTTCCATCTACTACTTCCTGCCTACCACTTCCTACCTTCTACTTCCTGTCAAATACTTCCCACCTACTACTTATTGTCTGCTACTTCCCGCCTACTACTTCCCTCAGACTACTTCTGGTTTCCTACTTCCCATTTACTACTTCCCACCTACCACTTCCCTCCTACTTCCCACCTACCACTTCCCTCCTACTTCCCACCTACTACTTCCCGCACTGACCTCAGCCTGTAACTGATGCTGCTTAGTAGCACTGGTTTCCAGTAAGAGCTTGAAGTTTTCATTTCCTGTCCAGTTAAACAGTAAGTGACTGGTTCTGCATGAACCTTCTTCGATGTAAGGTTTCGGGTCTGTAGAGCAGGAGAGCTGCCTCACCCTCTGGTCTCATCCTTTAGTCTCATCCCGCCTCCAGAAGGAGCACAGAGTCTGCATTCCAGACCCCCCCCCACCATCCTCCCCCATATCCTGTCATTCCAGACATTCCTGCTCCTTCATCTGAGGCTTAAATTGGAACATTAAAGTCACCTTTGCTGTGTTTAGTCAAAAGCTGCATCCGACCGTTGTTCTGGACAGAGGAAATATTTTTAGGGAAGAGAAATGTTGGGAAATATTTTTCTAGCGTTTTATAAAGCTGAATTTTTATTCCCTTAAATAGTTTTTTGGTTTGGATGTTTTTATTCAGGCTTATAAGCAACAATCTGACATTCTGCCTGTTTGGTGACATTTTATATGAAGACTTCTTAAACAAACTGATCTGTTCCCCTTAAAGCATCATTTCCACTTTAATGTCTTTCAGGTGTGGAAGTGAAAAAGCTCCCTGAGCTTCAGAGGGAAGTAGTTCCTGCTGTTAATGTCTGCAGTTGTGTTGCATGAATGCACCCACATTTGCATATGTCACGTCTGTATTTGCAAATCCACCATGATGCACCGCAGGCAGCTGCAGGAACAGCTCAGCAGAGAGGGGGGGGGGCGATGACCGGACCAGTTCAATGCAAACAGCCAATCAGCATCAGCCTCTCTCAGGGCTATCCTGCAGTGAGTCATGAGAATGGAGATAACATTCACTGACTAAGTTCATCTCAGAGGCGGAAGCTGCTTTATTTCTGCACTGAAAATGTTTGTGTTGAGAACTGAGTCACATGTTGGTTTAAACACGAAGACGTCCATGACGGCGTCCCGCGCTGATTAGCACACGTCTAACGGGATCACGTGTGTTCAGCTGAACCCTGCTGGGTTTTTCTGAGGGGACGTTTATGTTCTGGACTTCTTCTTCCCAGAGTCTAGAACAGACACCGATCCGCTGGAGGATGTTTTTTCTTCTATTTCCAGCAGAAATGTTCATGAATCTGAGGTTTAGGGGGGTGGAGGCTGTGGGATGTAACCTGGGATCTTCTGTCTCTCTGCAGGCTCTGCTGAAGATGGACTGTCAGGGTCTGGTGGCCAGACTTGTCATGGACTTTGTCCTCCTGACCACCGCTGTGGAGGTGGCGGGACGCTGGAGGGAGATGGCCGAGAGGCTGGTTAAGGTTTCCCGCCAGCAGATGGATGCTTATGAAGCGCCGCACCGCGACAAGAATGGCGTGGTGGACATCGAGGTATGGCGGCATAAACATGTTGGGTCCATCCAGGCTCCACATCCTGATGGGCTTAGTTGGGATTATATGCTGATGAAAAAATAAATAAATAAATCAGGGTTAGTTAAACATCTGCATGCTGTGACTCTGAAGGCCTGGTTCTCCTCCTGCAGCAGCGTGTCACAGACATTTATGATTCATGCTCAATATTGCAGCGTGGTCTGCTCTATACGCTGTGGGTCTAGATACGGCCGAGGAGGCGAGGAAGTGGGGGCGAGTAGTCCGACAATGGAGGGACATGAGGGCCAAAAAGAGCGGAGATCCAGGTGGAAAAAGCGTCCCAGCGTTCTTCTGCTCCTCGCTTTGCTAGCTGGTCAAACTTCAGGAGTTTTTTTCCGAAATTTCGCTCATAAAAACCAAAACAAGCCAACCACCTGAGCCTAAAGACTAAAACTGCTTTTATGGCAGATTGGCGAGAAGAAGCTTTCATTTCCTTATTGTTCTCAAAATGTCTGAATGCTAAGAGCTGCAGCTTGACTACCGCTACGGAGGACCAGCTCTGCCATATTTAAAAATAAATAGAGAAATAAATAATTGCTCAATTAATAAATAAGCATGCAATTAAATGCCCCCCAAAATACAATAAACTAATAAATGTAGGTAGAAATTAAAGGATACAGTGAGACATAAATGTATATCTCTCTTTTAATTAGCTTTTTTATTTATTTGCCTTTGTAATATTTAGCTTATTTATTTATTGTCCATTAAATTCTTCAGTTTTATTTATTAATTATCTATTTTTTAAGTATTTATGTGCATGTTGTAATATTTTTGCCTGGTTTATTCTTCCTTTGTATTTTTTTGCCCTATTTATTTCTGTTGTTTTTAAATAACTGCCTCATTATGCAAATGAGGGGGGCGTGGCTTATATGGTCACCTTCTGCCCATTGGCTGGTGGCCCAAACTCTCTGCATAGCCGTGTGTCAGGTGCCCATGATGGGGATTTTTTTGTCTCATTTAGCAAGACGTTCATTTGATTAGTGTTTATCTGACTATGTTCATTATTATTTCCCCATCAAATGTAAAAACTCAGAATTTATTATTATCTAGAGACTATTAATAACAGGAGGAGAAAAGCAGCTGAATGTGGTGATGTCATCAGTGCGCCTGCGTTCTCCCCAAGTCCAGACTTTCCTGTGTTCTTCTCCAGAACAGACTCGGCGAGAACACGAGTCCGTACTCACCATCGAGTGAAATCTCCTCCTGTAGATTGGAGCGATGCAGTAAAATGCTAACCAACCAATGGGCAGAAGGTGACCCTCTAAGACAGTGGTTCCCAAAGATTTTCCTCTGGGCCCCCCTTTGGATTACAATAAAATTTCCACGCCCCCCCCCCCCCCCAAAAAAAAAAAAAAAAAAAAAAGAAGAAACTGGGCACACGCATCGTTCAACCAGATATAATAAATCTATACACATATTTTGTTTTCAAACTCCACTGAAGTTTACAGTGGAACACTTTTGTGTAACTGTATTTTTTTCATAGTTCTATAATGTAGATCAGAAGAGGATTCTTTGTTGTCTGTGTTATTTTAAACATATTTCTTTTTTTTTATTTGTAACAATATTTAACTTTGCTATAATCTATACATTAAAAAAGCCTCTGTGCAAAATGGAGTGAAAACATTGAACAGCTCCCTGAGAGTTTTTTCTTTGTACTTTAATCCTCCCATCTTTTCAGTGGCTGTAGTGAGCCTGCTTGTTGCTGTAGATCTTCTCAAATCTGGGTTGCAGTTTCACAACTGTCCATTATTCTGCTCAGTCAAGCAAGCGCTGTTTTTTTCTTCATTCATCCATACCGCTTCCCGCGCCCCCCCTGCAATGGCATTGCGCCCTCTTTAGGGGGCGCGCCCCACACTTTGGGAACCACTGCTCTAAGCCACGCCCCCTCCTCATGAGCATAATGAGGCAGAAATGAGGACAGAAATAAATAGGGTAAAAAATACAAAGAAAGAATAAAACAGACAAAAATATTACAACATCCACATAAATAAATACCTGAAAAAATAAGTAATAAAGTTAAAGTTTATAACGGACAATAAATAAATTAATAATGTAATTATTACAAAGGCGGATAAATAAAGAAGCTAAGTAAAAGATATATACATTTATGTCTCACTGTATCATTTAATTTCTGCCTACATTTATTTGTTTTATTTTGGGGGCAATTAATTGTATGTTTATTTATTTATTTATTGAGCATTTATTTATTTCTGTATTTATTTTCACATATGGTAGAGCTGGTCCTCCATAGCAGCAGCCGATGATGCTGCCATCTAGTTAAAGCTATAGAGGAGGATGTTCTATTTCTGGGTGGATCATCAAAATAAGTGGTCCTCCTATCTGTCAATCATTCTGGTGTTTATGTAAAGCCGTCCTACGTGCTCGTCCCCATTTTCACTTAAGCCGCGCATACGCTGTACGGTTTTTTGTCCTTTTCAGACCAATTCTTCAGTCGTGTGACTATTTTTCAAGCAGGCTGGTGTAGCATACAGGAGGCAACGAGGGGCGATCAGCCTCCAACGACCGCCTCCCCATCAATTCTATTCAGTTTATTTCTATAGCTCCAATTCACATCATGTCATCTCAGGTCACTTTCCAGTTCACCAGATCATCCAGTCAGATTGATTCAAAGTTTTCTATCTAAGGAAAACCAGCTGATTGCATCGACTCATTGACTCTTCAGCAATCCCTCACACTAAGCATGCTTGTAGCGACAGTGGAGAGGAAAAACTCCCTTTGAACAGGAAGAAACCTCCAGCAGAACCAGGGTCAGTGTGAGCGGCCATCTGCTGAGGCCCACTGGGGTTCAAGGAGACAGAAGCAGACATAGAAAAAGAAGCATAGATACAAAAGGCAACTGTCAACCAGCTCCACAGGCGGCCCCGTCCAGGAAACACACAGCCAGGCAGACGAGCTCCGAGCCAGCTCCCATGTCAGAGGATGAAGAGAGCACATCCAGTTAGTCACAGTCAGAGAAACAGGACTACACTGGAAAACAGGCCAAGCTCCAACATCTAGAAACAAAGGTGTTGATGGCAGCAGCACAGCTGATATTTCTCTCCAGGATGGAGTCACAGCCAAACAGGAACAGACCAGATGAAGCTACTATGAGAAAAAGCAGAGAGAGCAGAACGTTAGAGATTGAACTAACAGATTCTGCAGAGTGGGAGAATAGAGATAGAATGAAGCAGAATGATGAAAAAGGGGTCCCTATGTCCTCCAGCAGTCTAAGCCTATAGCAGCAGAACTATAGAGATAGATCAGGATAACCTGAGCCACTCTAACTAGAAGCTTTATCAAAAAGGAAAGTTTTAAGCCTAGCCTTAAAAGTAGACAGGGTGTCTGCCTCACGGACTAAAACTGGTAGTTGGTTCCACAGGAGAGGAGCCTGAGAACTAAAAGATCTGCCTCCCATTCTACTTTTAGAAATTCTAGGAACCACTAGTAAACCTGCAGATTGAGAGCGAAGTGCTCTGTTAGGAACATCAGGAACAATCAGATCTCTGATATCAGATGGAGCTTGGCCATTTAAGGCTTTATATGTGAGAAGGAGGATTTTAAATTCTATTCTGGATTTAACAGGAAGCCAATGAAGAGAAGCCAGGATAGGAGAGATATGATCTCTCTTTTTCATTTTCATCAGAACTCTGGCTGCAGCATTTTGGATCAGCTGAAGGCTTTTAACTACAGTTTGTGGACTTCCTGATAGTAAAGAATTACAATAGTCCAGCCTTGAAGTAACAAATGCATGGACTAGTTTCTCAGCATCACCCCTGGACAGGAGATTGCTCATTTTTGCAATATTCCTCAGATGAAAGAAGGAAATTCTAGAAACCTCTTTGATATGGGATTTAAATGACAGGTCCTGATCAAAAATAACACCAAGATTTTTTACTTTATTATCTGAAATCAGTTTAATCCAAATGAAGTGACTGACTAATCAGTTTCTTTTTCAGAGACTCTGGTCCAAAGACTATAACTTCTGTTTTGTCTGCATTCAGAAGCAGAAAGTTAAGAGTCATCCAGGTTTTTCTGTCTTCAGACATGCCTGTAATCTATGTAATGGGTTAGCTTCATCTGGATTATAGACAGATATAGCTGGGTATCATCAGCATAACAGTGGAAATTAATCCCATGCTGTCTAATAATTCTACCGATTGGGAGCATGTATAAAGTAAAGAGAATTGGTCCTAGCACTGATCCCTGTGGTACTCCACAGGTAACCTTTGAGCATGAGGAAGATCTGTCATTAACGTGAACAAACTGAAATCGATCAGATAGATCAGATTTAAACCAGTCTAGAGCTGTTCCTTTAATTCCAACAAAATATTCAAGTCTTTCTAAAAGAATATTATGATCAACTGGATCAAATGCAGCACTGAGATCCAACAGGACGAGCACAGATACAAGTCCATTATCTGAGGCCATGAACTCAGGAATATTAAGGTCGGGAGAAAATCAAACATGTTAGAAATGCAGTCGTCCTCCTGAGGTGTTGGTGGGTCAATCCTGCTGCTGAAGACGATTTACCAGAAGCTCCAGCACAGCGTATGGCAAACAAGAGAGTTCTTCTCTTCCTCCAGATTGACGAGTCCGACCAGCGCCATCTCTGTTGTGGTGCCGTGTGGTTTCTGGACGTACAGTATGAGCAGGAAGATCGCATCTGAGTGTCGGGCCGTCCAGAACAAATATCGTGAGCTGTGAACTTTTAAACCCGGCGGTTTCATCGTACTGTTTGAGCTGTAGCTGCGTGAAACGATTGGAAATATCAAACAATGTTTTACCTGTGGTGGTGAGTCTTCTTTTAGAAAGTAAGGTTGCATGACGGATGGAAACAGCTACGTTTAAACAATGGCATGAGGAGAAATGGACTGGTGCACATTACTCCTCGTGCACGCTCTCGCACGTGTTTAATGGGGAGGGGATCCAGGGTTAAGCAAGTGGAGAGGGCGGGTCTTTTCAAAAATTCCCCAAACTCCTCCATTATACCTTTAGATTGAATAAATCAGATCAGGGATTCCTGATCATCATCATCATCAATCAGGTCTCTGTTCTGGTCTTCATGTCAGAAGACGGAGCAGCTGTAGGAGAGCAGTGGAGGCGGTTGGAGGCGGTTCTATCGAGACGATGGGTGTAAATTCAGAAAAGCAGCTGCTGATGATCCACACCCTAAAATCTGCATCCTTAGAAACATATGATTCAATCTACCTTCATGTTCACAGGCCATGTGGAAGCCGGCGTATGACTTCCTGGTCACATGGGCCGCTCAGATCGGTGACAGCTACAGGGACGTGATCCAGGAGCTCCACATGGGTCTGGACAAGATGAAGAACCCAATCACCAAACGCTGGAAGCACCTGACCGGCACACTGATCCTGGTCAACTGCCTGGACGTCCTGCGGAGCTCCGCCTTCAGCCCCGCCGCCCAGGAGGACTACGCCATCTGATGGCAAAGGGGGGGCCACCTCCTTTTAGCCCGCTCCTCTGGAGGCGGCGTGTGGCTGCTCCTCTAAACCACACAGGAACCTCAGAGACCAACGACTCTATTTTTCTACTTTAGTCGTGACGCAGCCCTTTTTTAACGCGGCACTTTAAACCTTTGTTGATCAACTGTGGATCAAACTGTAGAAGCTCCTAGCTTCCTTGCTGTTAGCTCCTAGCTATTAGCTCCTAGCTCCCTTGCTGTTAGCTCTAAGCTTCCTAGCTTTTAGCTTCTAAGCTATTAGCTTCCAAGCTGTTAGCTCCTAGCTTTTAGCTCTTAGCTGTTAGCTCTTAGCTTCCTAGCTTTTAGCTTCTAAGCTATTAGCTTCCAAGCTGTTAGCTCCTAGCTGTTAGCTCCTAGCTATTAGCTCCTAGCTATTAACTTCCTAGCTATTAGCTCCTAGCTTATTAGCTATAAATCCTAGCTATTAACTCCTAGCTTCCTAGCAATTAGCTCCTGGCTGTTAGCTCCTAGCTCCCTAGCTATTAGCTTCCAAGCTTTTAGCTCCTAGCTTCCTAGCTATTAGCTTCCAAGGTTTTAGCTCCTAGCTTCCTAGCTATTAGCTTCCAAGCTTTTAGCTACTAGCTTCCTAGCTATTATCTTTCAAGCTTTTAGCTCCTAGCTTCACAGCTATCAGCTTCCAAGCTTTTAGCTCCTAGCGTCCTAGCTATTAGCTTCCAAGCTATTAGCTCCTAGCTGTTAGCTCGTAACTTACTAGCTATTAGCTTCGAAGCTTTTAGCTTCTATCTTCCCAGCTATTAGCTTCCAAGCTTTTAGCTTCTAGCTTCCCAGCAATTAGCTTTCAAGCTTTTAGCTCCTAGCTTCCTAGCTATTAGTTTCCAAGGTATTAGCTCCTAGCTGTTAGCTCGTAACTTACTAGCTATTAGCTTCGAAGCTTTTAGCTTCTAGCTTCCCAGCTATTAGCTTCCAAGCTTTTAGCTCCTAGCTTGCTAGCTATTAACTCCTAGCTTCCTAGCAATTAGCAATTAGCTCCTAGCTGTTAGCTATTAGCTTCCAAGCTTTTAGCTCCTAGCTTCCTAGCTATTAGCTTCCAAGGTTTTAGCTCCTAGCTTGCTAGCTATTAGCTCCTAGCTTTTAGCTCCTAGCTTTCCAGCTATCAACTTCCAAGCTTTTAGCTCCTAGCTTCCTAGCTATTAGCTTCCAAGCTTTTAGCTCCTAGCTTCCTAGCTATTAGCTTCCAAGCTTTTAGCTACTAGCTTCCTGGCTATTATCTTTCAAGCTTTTAGCTCCTAGCTTCCCAGCTATCAGCTTCCAAGCTTTTAGCTCCTAGCTTCCTAGCTATTAGCTTCCAAGCTATTAGCTCCTAGCTGTTAGCTCGTAACTTACTAGCTATTAGCTTCCAAACTTTTAGCTCCTAGCTTCCCAGCTATTAGCTTCCAAGCTTCTAGGTCCTAGCTTCCTAGCTATTAGCTTCCAAGCTTTTAGCTCCTAGCTTCCTAGCTATTAGCTTCCAAGCTTTTAGCTCCTAGCTTCCCAGCTATTAGCTTCCAAGCTTTTAGCTCCTAGCTTCCCAGCTATCAGCTTCCAAGCTTTTAGCTCCTAGCTTCCTAGCTATTAGCTTCCAAGCTATTAGCTCCTAGCTGTTAGCTCGTAACTTACTAGCTATTAGCTTTGAAGCTTTTAGCTTCTAGCTTCCCAGCTATTAGCTTCCAAGCTTCTAGGTCCTAGCTTCCTAGCTATTAGCTTCCAAGCTTTTAGCTCCTAGCTTCCTAGCTATTAGCTTCTCAGCTTTTAGCTCCTAGCTTCCCAGCTATTAGCTTCCAAGCTTTTAGCTCCTAGCTTCATAGCTATTAGCTTCCAAACTTTTAGCTCCTAGCTTCCCAGCTATTAGCTTCCAAGCTTTTAGCTCCTAGCTTCCTAGCTATTAGCTTCAAAGCTTTTAGCTCCTAGCCTCAGGGGCCTGGTCATGCAGCAGGATGGTCCCTGAGGATGGGGGCGGCTGTCCCTGCTGAGGTCCTTCTCATTTCAGACGTCCAGATGTTTCAGCTGCATCCTGTCCAGATGTTTCTGAAGGTTCCCTAAAACATTTATTCATTGATCATTTGCAGAAAGTTTGAATCTGTTTAATGACTTTTCCTGTTCCTTTGAAGGAGCTGGTATGGTGGCTGAGAGGGCCCAGTTTCAGTTCATTTCAATAAACTGATGTTGTCACCTTACAGCCGTCTGATCTTCTCTCCAATCGGTGTCTCTTAACATTAGATGGTTTTCTGGGTCAGTCCGATTTTAGTCCAGACTAAGATGCCATCCAACGGTTCTCACACCAGGAGCTTAGTCTACTTTCGGGTTAAACGATGGTGGGCAGGAAAACATGGTTTAATGCAATGATCATCAGAGCTGGGAGTAAGGATTGACCCAAAGCATCACCACACCCCCACTATGTCTCCTCCTGTGTCGGTGGTGGATCAGGAGCTCAGCTTCTCCCTCCTGGGTTCCCTCAGAACCATCAGGACGTTTCTTTGACCAACGGGTCTTTTTGGGTCTTCGGTCAGAATCTCTGGGCTCCATTTGGACCGAGGGATGAATCCTGAACTCTGACCTTGCCTGATCCATGTGAGGTCTGCAGCAGTTCTCCTCCTGGATGAAGCGGCGTCTGCTCCTGGAGTATTTCGTCTCTGTCTTGCTAAGCCTACTTCATGTTGCCAGACAGGTTCTATCTGCTTTGCAGGGAGTTATCAGCCTAATTGGGGCAGATTAAATGATTAGAATAACGTGGCCATTGTTTTTTTGTCTTTTTTTTTCAAGGCTTAAAGCTCGTAAAATTATATTTTTATTGATTTTTCTGTCCATTAATCACATAATCAGAAATATTTGCACAATGTTCTCTTCAGTTTGTTTAACGAGTAACAGGAATACCTGAAAAAGGGAAATAACTGAGTTCCTTTATGGAATAATAAAGTCTAACATTACAATCATCAAAGTCAGTTCTGCTTCTTGACTTCAGATTAAAACAGTGGAAGCTGCTGCTCCGGTAAAATACATCCTAAATGTAAACTTTTATTAGAATAGTGTAATCTGGATTATGGTTTTTGTGCAAAACAGACAAATAAAAAAATTAGACCTTTAGGACCAAACTAGGCAGCTTAATTAAATCAAAGCATGATAATGACTTCTCACAGCTGCAGGAGCCGCCTGCACCCCTCTCTGTTCTCTCATAGTGGTTTGATCCTGCACCCCTCTCTGTTCTCTCATAGTGGTTTGATCCTGCACCCCTCTCTGTTCTCTCATAGTGGTTTGATCCTGCACCCCTCTCTGTTCTCTCATAGTGGTTTGATCCTGCCCCCCTCTCTGTTCTCCCATATTGGTTTGATCCTGCACCCCTCTCTGTTCTCCCCTATTGGTTTGATCCTGCACCCCTCTCTGTTCTCTCATAGTGGTTTGATCCTGCCCCCCTCTCTGTTCTCCCATATTGGTTTGATCCTGCACCCCTCTCTGTTCTCCCATATTGGTTTGATCCTGCACCCCTCTCTGTTCTCCCATATTGGTTTGATCCTGCCCCCCTCTCTGTTCTCCCATGTTGGTTTGATCCTGCCCCCCTCTCTGTTCTCCCATATTGGTTTGATCCTGCACCCCTCTCTGTTCTCCCCTATTGGTTTGATCCTGCACCCCTCTCTGTTCTCCCCTATTGGTTTGATCCTGCACCCCTCTCTGTTCTCTCATAGTGGTTTGATCCTGCACCCCTCTCTGTTCTCTCATAGTGGTTTGATCCTGCACCCCTCTCTGTTCTCTCATAGTGGTTTGATCCTGCCCCCCTCTCTGTTCTCCCATATTGGTTTGATCCTGCACCCCTCTCTGTTCTCCCATATTGGTTTGATCCTGCACCCCTCTCTGTTCTCCCATATTGGTTTGATCCTGCCCCCCTCTCTGTTCTCCCATGTTGGTTTGATCCTGCCCCCCTCTCTGTTCTCCCATATTGGTTTGATCCTGCACCCCTCTCTGTTCTCCCCTATTGGTTTGATCCTGCACCCCTCTCTGTTCTCCCCTATTGGTTTGATCCTGCACCCCTCTCTGTTCTCTCATAGTGGTTTGATCCTGCACCCCTCTCTGTTCTCTCATAGTGGTTTGATCCTGCACCCCTCTCTGTTCTCTCATAGTGGTTTGATCCTGCACCCCTCTCTGTTCTCTCATAGTGGTTTGATCCTGCACCCCTCTCTGTTCTCCCCTATTGGTTTGATCCTGCACCCCTCTTTGTTCTCTCATAGTGGTTTGATCCTGCCCCCCTCTCTGTTCTCCCATAGTGGTTTGATCCTGCACCCCTCTCTGTTCTCCCCTATTGGTTTGATCCTGCACCCCTCTCTGTTCTCCCATATTGGTTTGATCCTGCCCCCCTCTCTGTTCTCCCATATTGGTTTGATCCTGCACCCCTCTTTGTTCTCTCATAGTGGTTTGATCCTGCCCCCCTCTCTGTTCTCCCATATTGGTTTGACCCTGCACCCCTCTTTGTTCTCTCATAGTGGTTTGATCCTGCACCCCTCTCTGTTCTCCCATATTGGTTTGATCCTGCCCCCCTCTCTGTTCTCCCATAGTGGTTTGATCCTGCACCCCTCTCTGTTCTCTCATAGTGGTTTGATCCTGCACCCCTCTCTGTTCTCTCATAGTGGTTTGATCCTGCACCCCTCTCTGTTCTCCCCTATTGGTTTGATCCTGCACCCCTCTCTTTTCTCCCCTATTGGTTTGATCCTGCACCCCTCTCTGTTCTCCCCTATTGGTTTGATCCTGCACCCCTCTCTGTTCTCCCCTATTGGTTTGATCCTGCCCCCCTCTCTGTTCTCCCATAGTGGTTTGATCCTGCACCCCTCTCTGTTCTCTCATAGTGGTTTGATCCTGCACCCCTCTCTGTTCTCTCATAGTGGTTTGATCCTGCACCCCTCTCTGTTCTCCCCTATTGGTTTGATCCTGCCCCCCTCTCTGTTCTCCCCTATTGGTTTGATCCTGCACCCCTCTCTGTTCTCTCATAGTGGTTTGATCCTGCACCCCTCTCTGTTCTCTCATAGTGGTTTGATCCTGCCCCCCTCTCTGTTCTCTCCTATTGGTATGATCCTGCACCCCTCTTTGTTCTCTCATAGTGGTTTGATCCTGCCCCCCTCTCTGTTCTCCTATAGTGGTTTGATCCTGCACCCCTCTCTGTTCTCTCGTAGTGGTTTGATCCACAATGAGAGAGCCCTCACAGCTAGCTATTTTGTTGCTGAGCTCGTAGCTTAATAAAAAAAAGTCCAATACTGTGGGAGAGACATTAACACTTCCAGCTTATAAAGCCATTGTAAATGAAATGCTTGGCCCTGATGTTGCCAGAATTAGCTAAGGTGTTAGATGATGTTGTGCACATAGTGAAGTTTGTAAAGACACAATGAGGTGTCACTTAATTGCATCTTTCTATGATGAAATTAACCTTGAGCTGCAAGATCTGATTTTTCTGTCTCACAACAAACCCACCTTGAAAGACTCCCACTAATATGTCCGTCTCGTAACAACCGGCGAGTCGGACCAATGACATGCTACCAGTTTTTTTTTTGGTGTTGGACACGTAGGAGGGATAACAGTCAGAAGGGAAAACAAACATGGCTACGCTGGAGCACTCACCTGCCGATACCACAATTGACTATGGCTAAAATAGCGACAATAAACAACCTGTCATTTCTGGCACACGTCTGAAACGTCACGAATGGATGAAAGCGTATTATGGAAGGCGGGTACTGGCAGGCATGTCATCCAATCAGCTCAGTACTAACCATCCCTCCTTTTCAAGGACTGACTGAGCGGCAGCCATCCCAGATTTATAACATAGAACTCAACTCAGTTCCACACATATCAATCTGGCTGCTGTTAGGTTATGAAGAAATGGGACTAGAACATAAAATCTTACTGTTCCACATGGAGGTCCGGTGGCTGCAGCGCAGCAAAGTGCTAGCCCTCGTCTATGAGGTACAACAGCAACTTAAAGTATTTCTGACAATAAAGAGGTCTGATTACTCACAGCTGCTTGAAAGTGATGAGTGGTGTGCAAAGCTAGCGTACCTGGCTGATGTATTACCCTCTCACCAAGGAACTGCTAGACGGCAAAACTGCTGCATTATGGAAGGTGAATGGCACACATTTAAAATCTCTTGAGGAGATATTGTCCTGTGTGGTTTCTGGATGTTCAGTTTGAGCCGGTAAATCGTTGGGGTGTCATGAGCTGTGAACTTTTAAACTCTGCGATTCATCATACAGTTTGAGTTGTAGCTGAGTAGAACAGTTGAAAATATCTTCAGTGTATGCCCAGCCTTAATGGACGTTTGTAGACGACCCAAATGCAGAGACAGAAGGCAGAGTTGGTTTCTTGCAGATTAATGAACAGGTAGATGGTAGAGAAAACCAGAAAATACAGGAAGGAACTAAGGAACCAAAACTAGGAGACACTCAGGAGAATAAAAAACAAAAGGAATCAATAAATGAGTGACAGCAGAGGAGGAGTATATAAGGGAGACAGAACATTGAAGGAGAAATCAGCTAGTTGGGAGCAGACCTGGACTGAAGCAGCTAGAAGGACGCTAAGGGGAAAGGAAATAAGTGAAATAAAGCTACAGAATAAATAAGCACCAAATGGAAAACTAGAGGATGAGGGAAGCAATCAAAGATAACTTCAGATATCTATGAAACCATGGAAACCTAAAGATAACAGGAAAAATAACTAAAAATAGATCAAGGCATAAATAAATATCAAAAATACTGAAAAAAGAGATAACTGAAAGAAATAACAAGGAAGAGTAAAACAAAAAAATCAAAAATGATTTAAATCTTAACAACACAGAATAACAAATATTAAGGCATAACTGTTTCTGCTTAAGTCCTCACAAGGTCAAAATTTAAAAGTCCAGAGAAGCAGATCCTGACAGGTTTGTGAGATGATCCAGCGTGAAAGGGTTAGGGTTAACCACAATAAACGAGAGGGACGTTTCAGCAGGTGGATTAAAAACTGAGGGACTTGGAAAAATAATCAATCTAAGGAGAGAAATGCAGCCTAATAAGATTTAGACTCCGGGGGAAGATACATTTCAGGCTCAATTTAACAAAACTGTACAGGTCACATGATGTAGGATTGACTTTAAGATCTGATTGTTTTTGGGGTTTTTTTCTTAACAGCACTTCAAGGCTTAAAACTTTCCTTTTTGATAAAGCT